TTCTTATGAGCTCTGGAAAACTGTGCCTGAAGTAAATGTAGATAGTCCTAAAGGAGGGGCCAAGTGGAGTCTTCCTGAATAAACTGATGTTACAATTAGTACATGAATTTTGTAGGAAATATTGAGTGTCTTATTAATTTTTTATATTCCAAAAGTCTAATATACTACCAAGGAGGTCAGAGATAATATATAATTCAATGAACGAGTACCACGTTTTTTCATTCTTGGGTTCTTATGTGCATTTTAAAGACTGAAGTTTTAGATAAGTGTTCACTATGGAAAAGAGATACTACTTTAATTATTCTATAGTCAGTATAAAGGCCTTTTAAGAAGGGAAAGTTACTACATAAATTTTGAGCTATTTTTTAGAAATGAAGCATCTTGCAAGTTAAGTCAGTGTTGTTTTATATCAGATTTTATAATTCTCAGGTTTATGAGTGCTTTGGTAGAATAATTATTCACAAATAATTTGCTTAAGATGCTAAAGCTCTGCATTGTAATTCATGTCATTCCTCACCCTCTTGTCCAAGTTAAAAATAAAACAGTGTTAGGATAATAAAAGCTGTGGCTAGGAAAAATGAATAATAAAACAAATATCTCTTCCTATTGCACGAACGGTATTAAATCAGGGTTGCTGCTTCGAACAGTGGCAAATACTGTGGACTAGATGTGGAGAGTGTATTTATTGTCTCTGACCTTCACAATGCCTTCTGCCTTTGAAGACATTTTTTTAGTGAGTACCACACCTAAATGCAGGTCTCTAGCAGGCTGTCTCAAATGTGATAATTTAGACTGGGTGATACATTCATCTAAACTAATCCAGTTAAGGATAACTTAATTAAGAGAATAAAATTTGCCAGCACTTTTCTGCTTCTAGAGGAATATTGCATTAGAGTGTTCGCATATTTACACTTCCTGCCAAAACACAGGCAGGGAAAAGAAAAAAAAGAAGAAAGAAAGGCACTGAAAACTATGAAGGTGGCCTGAGAATTCATCGGTGCTGCCGTGCCATGAACTTAATACTAAATCGCAATTTTCACTTGTTAATTAAAACTGATGTGGCTTAAAATGTTTAGCAGTTTATTCCATAGTTAACTATATTAATCTCCCAGAGAGGATAGTAGGTTTTACATAAATGACAGTCTTACATAGTGTTGGCCCAAGTAGACATACACAAGGCTACTATCCCCCTTTTATTGTTGAGCTATTTTAAGAATGCAGTATAACATGAACTGGTTAGCGTTATATCCTGTTAGTAAACTTCTAATGTTTCCATTGCTCTACATTTTATTTTCTGTGTTACTTGGTGGTGTTTTTCAATTATAATTTATGAATGGCTGAAGTGATTTCTAAAAGAATGGACTTCTTATGTTCCTTTCCATTATTTATCTCCAATATATATTTTGAATATAAGCATGTGTTATTATGTATGTAGCAAGTTTAAATGTAACAACATTTCTTCCTGTAACTGCTCAAATTTTCAATCTTTCCTATTTCTGACCGACAGGGGTTGTCAGATTTATCAAACTGCAAGTCACAGTTGCCTTCTAAATGCATGCTTTTGGAAATGTCAAAACCCCTCAGGGCTGTGTGATTTTCACTCGTGTGTGTGTTGAAAGTTTATTGCCAAATAAAACTGAATAAATCGTGGAACACATTTTCTCTCTGTGCCAGAGAAATGCAAATTGTTATAGGTCAATTGCTAAGAGTGCTGGTCTCCATCTCCTGTGTCTTGTTTGCAATTTGTTTTTCATTTATTCTAAGCACACACAATTCACTCTACATTTCCTTGTTATGTACATGTTTTCAGCTGTCCCCAGTGTCTGCTTTGACGTGAAGAACTATTCTTGCTGGACTTTCCCTTCTTCAGTGTCCCGTTTAATGTTTGTAAATCTGTACACATCTTACCTCACAGGAGCTGCTGTCCTAAATTTCCAAATGTAGGCAGGAGAAATCATTCTCATAGTCCACTTTTACTACTTATTCCAGTCATATACAGAGGACTATGAACCCCAAAATAGGAGAACATAGCTAAGCCAAGAAACACATCCACAAGGGTATTAAATTTTAATTTCTTAATAGTTATATTTTATCTTCTGCTGATCTAAGAAAATTTTGCTGTTTGCTAGAATTCAAGGTAGGTGGATAATGAAAGCTAAGGGAAGAACAGTAACTTATAAAATACTAATGATTTCAATAACAAAAAGCACTACCTTAACTATTTTGAAAATAGTTTGAGAACTTTTAATAGGAAAATGATATTATAGTGAGAAAAGTGTTAGTTAAATGCTTTAAGAGGAAGAACAAGAGTTGCTTGAAAAGATGTAATTAAATTTAATATTAAACTTTTCAAGGCTGATTAGAAATAGCTTGACTTTTCTCATCCCATCTTGTTCAATCCACGCCCAAAATCCTAATGTAACATTGTATATATTTCATACCTAAACAAATAGAGATAAACTGCCATCCATTATTTAAAGACCAGACTGCTTTACAAAAAAAAAATTCCCTTTCGTTCTATCCAATAATGCTTATATAATTCAAGATTGAGTAAAAATTTTAAAGGTGTGCGACAATGGAATGGAATGTTTACGAAATATTTCTTTATTGAGTAACTGTGGAATTCTTAAAAAATAGAAACTGTATTGTCTGACATGGATATTGGGCATTGGGTAAAATGCTTAAAGTAAAATGTAGAACTTGCAGGCCACTTTCAAGTAAGAAGAAATGTCTCAGTGCGCAAAGTACACAATTGTAGATAATCTAGGAACACATCACCAAATTTGAGGCCCGTTAATTAAGTCAGCTTGCGTTGAGAGGATCAATATTCATGTTGTTCACCGTGTCCTGAGCAACCAAGGCTGGGGCAAATTCCAAAGAAAGTGAATGGGCAAAGCCAGGGGTATTTTGCTGAGTAAAAGCTGACTTATTCCAATAAAACCTGTCCTTTTATTTCAGCAAGAGAAATCTCTTGTGGGCATGGAGAAAAGTGAGAATATTTTCTCTGTTTAACTGTCTTAATCTCATAATGTGATAGAAGTCACTGTCACTGTAGCCTGACACAGTTTTTTTTTTTAATTTTAAGGAGAATAATTTAAAAAAAAGAACAATAGCAAAATATCAACAACATAGACAAAAACAAAACAAAGCAAAAACAATAAAAATGATGCAGGGTTTCAGAACAAATTGTCAGGAATTTTTTGGGGGGTACCAGGAATTGAACTCAGGACCTTGCGCTTGCCAGGCAGGCACTAAAATGACAGGAATTAACAGTGGTTGTTATATAACATATTGTCATCTTCAACAAAGTTGCTCAGATTACCAGATGTGACACAATATTGCCAAGAATGCTTGGTTTATGTGGATGCAGGGAAGATCTGGGCTTTAAAACCAGGCACTGTTGTCCTGCTACAGTTAGAGCTCCGCATTATACCATGAGGCCCCAAATGCAGATTCCTGTTTCTCTGGGAATGCTTGCCTCTCCCTCAATACATGTGACTGTGTAACGTTTACTGCCCCTACAGATGTGATGGATGCATGGGAAAATATTTTCCGTGCAGTAATTAAATGTCCTTTGAGGGGCTGGGGATTTAGCTCAGTGGCACAGCACCTGCTTGGCAAGTGCAAGGTTGTGAGTTCAATTCCTGGTACCAGAAGGAAAAAAAAAAAAAAAAACGTCCTTTGAGGTGGCTGGTCAGATTTCATCAAGGAGAAAACGTTTTCTTTCTTTGGCTGTGCCACTTATGCTTCTTGGGTTGTGAAGTGCCTTAATGACCATCAGAGTCCTGGTATAGAGACAGAGGTTACCTAGTTTTTTTCAGTTTCAGATCTATATTTAAGTAAAGTGAAAAGGAAGCAACATACTTTTTTTTTATTGACACAAAGTGCTTATTGGCTGCCCTTGTTGAAAGATATATGATCAGCCTTTGGATAAACCCAGTTTGTGTGTCTATAGATCAGATGCAAAAAATGTGATAAACGTCAGTAAGCAGCTCCCTAGTCTGTCTATATCTTGGATTCTTTCCCACACATGCTAATTAAATAAGAAGATCTGCCACATGATAATCTGATGTTAGAAACTTCTCCCGGAGTCAATCCCCACCAGAAATCAAACCATTAAGGCATAGTGGTGCATACCTATAGTCTCAGCTACTGGGGAAACTGAGGCAAGAAGCCTGTTTAAACTCAGGAATGTAATGCCAGCCTGGGTACAAAACTGAGACGGTCTCAACAAAAGATTTTTAAAAAGAATAAAAAAAGGAAGAAAAAAAGCACAAGAGGAAATAATAATAGGTCCATTTCAAGGATCCTAAGGGCAGAATTTCTCTAGGCAATTTAGTAACTGCTTTTTTTTTCACTACCTTAATTTTTCTCCTGTACCTGACTTGTTTCATGTAGTTCACTGTGCAAGCACTCACCAAAACTGAAGAAAATGAAAATATACTTACGGTATTTCAGTAACTTACTCTTTAAAAAGTATCACGGAGCTTTTTAGGATAAGAGTTGAAAGACTGGAATATGAAAAATCCTACTCTATTAACATTCTGGCTTTAGGGCTTTTCTTTTAGATAGAACAGCGCCTAACTAGAAAGTATTAATATTGAGTTAGAAATATAGACCTTGGAATCCCATCATTATAACGGTGCCTAGCATTTAGTAAATGTGTATTGTGTACTTGGCTGCACATTATATGACTGAACCTCAGAGCAACTCCCTCAGTTGATGTTTTATTATACAGGTAGGTAACTGAGGTTGAGAAGACTGAAGTAGTTCCTGCAATTTTGTATTGCTGACTGGAGATGGAGTGAGATTTGTACAAAAGTAAACTGAGGCAGGCAACATTTTTAATCACTAAGTTATACTGTCTCTGTGCTGCCCTATACCCAAATTTGTAGTTTCACAGTGTCTGTGTTGGGCAATAAACCGGTTGACCTCTATTCTCACATGAACTGTTGGATGCACTGTTTTAGTAATCTGCACCCTTGTTTTTCTGCCTGTAGGTCCCTGGGGAAGGTGCACAGGAGACTGTGGGCCGGGAGGAGTGCAGAGTCGAGCTGTGTGGTGCTTTCACATTGAGGGTTGGACAAGTCACTTGTCTAACTGTGACGAGAGCAGCAGGCCTCCGAAGGAACGGAGTTGTTTCCGAGTCTGTGATTGGCACAGTGACTTATTCCAGTGGGAGCTTTCCGATTGGCACCACTGTGTGCTCGTCCCCTACCCCCACGGAGAAGGCAAGCCTCGGACTGCGGAGTGCGTGACGGCTCAGCACGGACTACAGCACCGGGCGGTGCGCTGTCTTCAGAAGCTGAACAGAACCATGGTGGCCAATGAAATATGCGAGCACTTTTCCCCTCTTCCCCCCACGGAACAAGCTTGCCTCATTCCTTGTCCCCGGGATTGTGTTGTATCTGAGTTTTCACCGTGGTCTAAGTGTAGCAAAGGCTGTGGGAAGAAAATGCAGCACAGAACTCGGACAGCGGTCGCACCCCCTCTCTATGGGGGTGCGCAGTGTCCAAACCTGACCGAGTCAAGAGCCTGTGAGGTCCCCCTTTCCTGTCCTCTTGGGGAAGATGAATATACTTTTAGCCTTAAGGTTGGACCATGGAGTAAATGCAGACTCCCTCATTTTAAAGAAATTAACCTCAGTGAAACAACTGTTCTGGATTTTAGCTCTGATTCAAATGAGCAAGCCACCTTTAGACATCAAAGTCACAAAGCACAACACCGTTCGCAGCCCTGGGGCATAGAGATAGGTTACCAAACCCGGCAGGTTTGGTGTACGAGAAGTGATGGAAAAAATGCTCTGTTAAGGTAGGAGGTTTTCAGTGTTTGTGTTTGATTGACCTAAAATATTTCATTGTGCAATTTTATAGGATTTCTTTATGATTTTCTACTAAGAAGAAATTGTAATCAAGTTTGTAATTTAAGTTTTTAGAGGTTTTATTTAAGGAAACTTCAATTTCAAATACAGATGTTAGAAGTTTCCTAGTCTACAGCAGGCAAAGTTCTAAATTGTGTGACTACTAATGTGAATCATCTTTCTACATTTTATTAAGACAGCAACCGGTATGAACATAGGTCTTTTGTTACTTTAATAGAACTAAGTGATTCTTTTTGACAAAATCCAAGTTCACTCTCAAAAGGGGGCCATAAATTATGGCAACATGTACTGTTTTTCAGAGACAGAAAGGAGAGGGATGGAGAGAAAAGAAAAGAGAAGGAGGGAGAGAGGGTGGAGAACAACTTCCCTTATGCCTCTTGTTGCTAGGGCTCTGATCCTATCTCTAGGGTTCTGATTGTCATGACCTAGCTAACTTCCAAAGTGTTCATCTGCAGGTTAGGGGGTTGAATTTCAACATTTTAATTCTGCTAAAATGAAGGACATCTTGATTGCTTCCAAATTTGGCAATTATGAATAAATTTGAAGTAAAATGTCATGTGCACATCTTGTGGTGAACATTATTTTTTACTCATTTGGGTAAAAATAAAGTAGTGCAGTTATTGGACAAAATGGTTAAAAATATGAGGTGTGATAAAAAAGTATGGTGTATGTCCCAGAGGGGATATTTTTGTTGTTATTCATTCTTTCTGAATATCTACATAGATCAGCATGTCATCAGCAAAAAACAAGCTTTATTTCTTCCTTTGCAACATGGATGTTTTGTTTCATTTTCTTACTTTACCGCATTAGCAAGAAATTCCAGCGCAGTGTTGAACAGGTGTGGTGAAATGATGATCCTAAGCCCTATATGTGAAAGTGTTGGGCCTCTCCAGGAAGTCTCCTATTCCCAGTATTCCAAGATGTTTTAAAATTAGGAATAGGTGTTAGAATTTTGTCATATATTCTTTATGCTTCCATTGACATGATCGTATGGTTTTTATTCTTTAGCCTGTTGATGTGACAAATTACTTTACATGCTTTTCAAACATTAAGTAGCCTGGCATATCCCAGAATCAATGCTCAGTTGTGACGTATACTTTCCTTTATATATTGGATTTCTTGAAAATTCTTACATCACTGTTAATGAAAGATATTGGTTTTAGTTCTTACTTGTAATGCCTTTTCCTGGTGGTACCAGGGTGATGATGATGGCCTCAATAAGTTGAAAAGTCTTTTTTTTTTTCTTTCTATTTTCTGAAAGAGATTCTTGAAGATTTATATAATTTTTTCTTGCATATTTGTTAAAACTTCACCAATATACCACTGATTTTAGAGCCTTTTGCTTTGGAAGGTTATTAATTATTAATTCAGTTTCTTTAGTGGGCTCAGACATAATTCTGAATGTCAGTTTCTCCTTGTGTGACTTTTGGTAAATTGTGACTTTCAAGAAATTTTTCCATTTCCTGTAGGTTATTGAGGTATGAAGTTACTCATAATATTCCCTTATCATCTTATTTTTAATTAGAATGTATGCTTCATGATTGCCTTTTTAAAATTTCTGGTATTTATAATTTGAGTCTTCTTGTTTTAGGCATTTATCACTTTATCTGGCTAGAGATTTATCAGTTTGGTCAGTCTTCTCAGGGACACAGTTTTTGTTTTGTTGATTTTTCTCTATTGGTTACTCGTTTCCAGTTTTTTAATTTTGACTGAAATTATTGGTAATAATACTTTTATTATTATTTTAGATTATGAAAAATAACAATGAAAATGGTAATAATATAATGAACATACTAAACATAATATTTACAAGAATATAATAACATTTATTTTCTTATAAAATAAATAATAGTAATATTTATGTTTTGTAAGATTAGTGATTTTACATCTTGTTTCTTTCTAGTATATGCATTAAATACTCTGAATTTCTCTCATAGCAGTATTTTCTCCATATTCTACAATTGTGATACACTTTAATTTTGTTTTCATTTAGTTCAAATACTTTTTCATTTTTATTGAAATTTCCTCTTTTATGCAAGATTTTTAGTATATTGTCTAATCACAATATATTTTAGGGTTTCTCTCTTCTATTTTTTTGTTACTGATTCATAGGTCATTTTTTTTTTTTTTTTTTTTTTTTTTGGTTTTGGTTTTGGTTTTTCTCCGGTACCGGGAACCGAACTCACGACCTTGCGCTTGCCAGGCAGGCGCTTTTGCCGCTGAGCTAAATCCCCAGCCCCCCATAGGTCATTTTTATTGTATCGTGGGAGCATAGGTTGGATTCTTTCTACTCTTTCAGACTTGTTAAGGTGTGTTATTTGGCCCAGTATTGTGGTTTATCTTGATGAGTACTCCATTTGACCTTGAGAGAATGTGTATTCTGGAGTTTTGGGATGAAGTGTCCTATAAATGTTAATTAGATCCAGTTGATTGATGATGCTGTTTAGTTCAACTATATTCTTACAAATTTTCTACCTGATGGATTATACATTACTGCTAGAGGGGTATTGAAGTATAGAGTTACAATGGTGACATTTTTCTTTGTCTTCGAAGTTATATCAGTTTTGCCTCATATAATTTGAGACTCTGTTCTATATCTATTGTGTTGCAATATCTCCTTGGAGAATTAGCCTCTTTATTTTTATGTAATGCCCATCTTAAATCTGACAGTTGTTCCTTGCTATAAATTCTCCTTTGTCTAGAATTATCATAACTCTATTTGGCTAATGGCAGCTTATTACCTTTTTCCTTTATTATATATTCTTATATTTAAAGTGGGTTTTTCATTGACAACATGGAGTTTGATCTTGATTTTCATTAACTCTGATTGTCTCTGTCTTATAATTGCTATCTTTAGACTATTGGTGTTTACAGCAAAATTGATATAGTTGGATCAGTATCTTCCACATTTATTACTATTTTCCATTCATTGTATTTGTTTTTTATTTAATATTATTCAATTTTTCTCTTAACATGTTATTTATATGTTTTTATATATTTTTGAATGATTTCCTTAGATGTTGTAATATAAACTCACAACTAAGGAAAATCACTTTCAAATCACACTGTATGTTTTATAGATTGTGTGACCATATTCAAAATCCCTCCCAGTCATCCTAACGCTGCCTCATTGACTTCACTTATTCATAATCTGTAATCACTGAGTATATTGTGACTATTATTTGAACATGTCAACCAAGAATTGGAAGTATGTAATATTTTATCTTCATTTATTCCTTCTCCAGTGAACATTCATTTTTGTATATCTGAACTATATAATTTTTCTTCTCTCTGAAGAACTTTTAAAACAGTTTTGCAAAGCAAGTCTACTGGTAAAAAGTTCCTTCAAGTTTTGTTGGATGAAGTCCTTATCTCTCCTTCTTGTTCAAAAATACTTTCATTGAATATAAAATTTAGATCGGTGCTCCTTTTTCTTTCAATGCTATCCTCACTTTTGGCTTGCATCATTTTTGAAAAGAAAGTCCATGTGAATTTAATCCTTTCTTCTCTATTGATAATGTGAATGTCTTTTGAGTTATACTGTACTGTTATATCTACAGGCACAAGAGAATAACATCTTATTTGGTGTTCTTGTTTTTTATGATTTATGTTATTTGTTTTTGTTATTTCTTACTGTCTTTGAAATGTCTCAAACAATTCTTCCTAAATGAGGTCTGAAATTAGCAAATATTTCAGTTATAACCCCCCAAAACTATGCAGTAGCCTTATTGATGGTGTGCTGTTTTGGGGGTAGAATAAGGTTCTATGGTGTACCACTGGGTCGCAATATTTTATTGGCCTTTGTCTCTGGACTTTATTACACAAACTTCTCAATTTCCTCCCTCTTTCCCAATTTACATCAAACAAGATGTCTAGAAAGGACTGGAATGAGGTATTTTCCTCTCCCCGTTCAATGAAGATCTGGTAAATCTCATTTGCTTTGGGTTCTGGTGAAATAGTTTACTGTGAGGACAAGTTTTAAGAATAACAGAATTTTCTGCATGCATTTCAAAATTGCTTTTTTTCTCTTACCCCTGCTAGATGCATGATCTTCACTGTAAGAACCTGACAGGGCTCTTTTGAGGTAAAACTCATGGAAGTATTGAAGTTCCACTAGGGCTGGGTCATCTGGAAGGTTTTAACTGTCAGGCTTGATCTACGCTGAGCCTCCAGTGATTGTCAATCACATATTAAATTTCCCTACCCACAGTTCAAATTTGTGACCCTGAAAAGTTTCACAATTGAATAAGCTGTGACTCGTGTTATATGCTGTTTATCTCTCCAAATTTGGGAGCAGTTAATGCCATCTTTTGATTTCAATTATTTGATGAATTGAAGAAAGATTGTGGATTTTCAGTTTGCATATTTTTTTCTTATTCTAAGAATAAGAGTAATTTTTCCCAAGCTCCTTACACACTCAGGTGAAAAGCAGAAGTCAGCATGATCCCTCTTGACTAAACATGTAGAACCACAACACCTTCACATACATTATGTCTTCAAATATATAACATTAATTTAATAGAAGATTATGAAATGACTCATATGCTATCATGAAATGATTAGGATATTGGGAGAATATGGTGTTAAGTGAGGAGATTTCTGTTTCTGTGCCTTCCACTGGCAAAAGCAAGGGTCTTTGCTGACAGCTCTGCAGTCACGTGGTTGACAACATCCTCTCATTTCTCTCTACCCTGATGATTTACATCTGCACTTCCCACTAGGAATTCTGCTGAAAACGGCTCAACTCCGCCTCTGAAAAGTGCACCGTTTTCTCTCTTGTGGATTGGGTGCATTCAAAAAACATTCATATCTGTGTGTATCAGCTAATTTCTAGGATGAACTGTTTCTCTTGATCATTTCAAATTTGTCCAAACATACGGATTCTTTTTGCGCAGTACTTACATCTAGCTCTCGATCTGTTGCCTGCTGG